CTTTTATAATTAACCAGACTAGTGCAGGCCAGTAAAAGGTTGTTAAGCTAACTAGCTGGAGGTAAAAAAAGATTTAAATATAAGAATTAAGATTAGTGGTTTATCACCAAATATAATCATCATCATGCCCTCACATGTCGAAAGTAGCTTGACCTTGGAGACCATTTTGCAATTTGCCTTACAATTAATGCAAGTGGTTCCTAATTTTCCCATTAAATATGTGTTAATTCTGTGTTAGTCTCAAGAGATTGATATGAATCTTAAGACAATATCTGACAAGCAAGGTTGGATATGGAATTTGATCTTTTAGCTTGCCAGCAGACAAGTTGCGATGCTTGGTTAGACCTAACGGCAGGCAATTCCTGCATAGATTATCGTAGTTTTCATATATATTATGAAGCAAGATTTGGCACTAAGCCCGTACAAATCATGCTTTTTAAACATGCTCCCTGACTGATTAAATTAAAATAATATGCAAGATGGTACAGTCTTTGCTTGAATGTACAAGATGCTTAGAGAATTAAATAATTAATCATGGTTGGATTAGCTGGCCTACCTGTATGTTAATCTGATCCTATTAGGGCCAAATAAATGCCAGTGAGCGAGCTCACCAAATTGCCTACTACTATTAGTTAGTGCTTCAATTCATTAAGTTTTCCCTAATCAAGTTGCACCTTCAACTTTAAGAATTAGGCCTCAAGGTTAAAAGTTGAAACGTGCATGAAAAGTAAAGCAATATAAAACGAGGTTGCAAAAAGCAATATATATCGACAAATTAACTTCAATAATTGGGTGTAGATTTTTATATCTTTCATGAAGAATGAAGTTCCAAAGGCATGCCTAGCACCAGATATAGTCCATGAAGGTAGTCACAGCTTATTATTTAAAAGAACAATGACATAGTTGTGGCACGAAGATAAATATATCTGAAAGGGATATCTGCATGGATGATTTCGCAATAAAAGTGAGCATGAAACAAGCTAATTTCAGACGTTCTAGGTTTGAAGACTCATGCAACTGTTGAGAGTCAAACTTTGCTCTCGAATATACAAAACTTTGAGTCTCTCCATGAATGTATATAATAAAGCTATTCCTTCCAATAGATAAAGATTTTGAGTTTTTATAAGGGTAATGCTAAGTAGACTAAATTTGAAAATAAAATTTACAAACTAAATGATGTGTTACTAATAGGAATGAGCACATTTATTACCACTTAAGTAATAACAAATCATCACTTTTCATGTCCTTTAGTTTCTAAAATTTAGTTTCCTTAGCATTACCTTCTTTAAAATTTAATCTACAAATTTAGCTTTTAAAATTTAGTCCACAAATTTGGTAATTTATTTTAAAATAAATGCGCACGATACTTTTCAGTGAGGACCGAGGACACCCTCATCTAGCTCGTACATAACACGAATGATTTATCATTGAGATGTAAGATCATAATCACAAGCAAATTATAAGCCCAGTCTTTGTGTATCTGATAATAGACAGATGTTGAGCAAGGTCAATGTGATTGTGATATGGCCTAGGACTGAAAGGCATGTTTCGATGCAAAGACAGAGAGTGAGACAAATGAAGGGGGTGGTGACTTGGTGTCGGGGTGAGTGAGGAGGGTTTGGCCCCTACCCTCTCTCTCTCTCCCTCTGCAAATGAATATATACGAATTGAAGAAGATGATGGGTGGCATATGGAGCTTTGGCTGTGTGTCTCAGTGTGTCTGTTGGGCCAGACGTGTCTTGGATGCATCAGACACATGTCAGAGGCAGTTTGGCAAAGAACACCTCGGTGCACACCCCCACCCACTTGGGCTCAAATGTTGCCACCCCTCCTTTTTCTCTCAGCTGCATCTAAACCAGATTCCAGCCCATCCTGCTTGGCTGGTTCAGCCTCGCCACCATCCTCCCCCAACTCTCTTTGTCAGATCTTTTGTCCTCTCTCTCTCTCTCTCTCTCTCTCTCTTACACACACACACACACACGAAAGAGTTTTCCATATCATTTTATAAATGATTGGTCCCTCCAACCAATTATTTACTAACTTGGTATTATAGGCCTGACAGCGATCAAGGAACCAATATGGAATTTGACAGGGTAATATTTCTGCCAAAAACCTTTTTCTTTTTCTATGTTTAACCTCATTAAAGATTTTGTTAATCAAACCCTAAGGGAGAGAAACTTAGATTTGTCAAGGTGATGACTACCCTTTTGATTCCTTTAGCACGTCATGTTTCGTCTGTTTTAAAAGTATTGACTAAAAGATAATATTTGACCCCTTATCTACGTCTAATACATGATTAAAAGAATGAACGGTTCAAATTATGCGTTTATATCATACAATAATGTCACGGCGTCGTGTAAGAAGAAATGACTTATAAAGAGTCCATCAATGTCCTTGACTAAATACCAAATATATCCTACAATCATCTATTAAATATACGTGTGTCGAATGTATATATACTTTTTGTCCAATTTATTTGAGTTTATATAATGCGTTTTATGTGAGATTAAAGAAAATTCATCCTCTAAGAATTCTTATTAATATTCTACTAGTTGTATATAACTACATTTATATAGAATTAGTCCATCAAGAGTTAGTCTATTACCTATATGGTGGATGGGTGTGCATTTATGTGTGTGGACGTGAGGAGATAAAAAGAAAGTGATGGTTACCTTAAGGTTGTCTCAAGTCAAAATCACAAGGCCATATGATATGTTAGTGGTGCCCCCATTTACATCCCATTTAAGATGGGACAATGACACTATGATTTGTGAAATTATTCACCACTACTAGTCATGAGACTCATGACTAAACACTTCTTATCCTGATTCACTTGATCTATTTATCCTTAATGTCTACATTAGCCCCACTTCATGTCTATAGCATTTGAGCACCATGATTTCCTTTCCCTTTTTGGCCCATTACAAATAATTCTTTGATATGATCCCCCTAATCATCAACCATCAAACCATTTTAATAATGATTTTTTTTTTAATATTATACAACAATATATTTACATTAGGAGATAAGAGAATAAATTAGTATCGAACCTACCATCCACAAATTTTAAACTGAAAACATCTCATTTACAACTAAAAAATAATATCACTAAATTATATAGTACTAAGTGATTTTAATGGCTTTAACTTTTAATTATTACTACATATGGCTTTACTATTACTTAGTTAAGCCAGAAAAAAGGTTTAATTATCACTAACTTCATTTTGAAAAATGGTTTATCCATTATTAAACTATGAACCCTATCGAAAACATTGATACTTAGCTGTTCATAGACACAATTGTATATCACCCTTCAATTCGAATTAGCAAAGTAATGTCTCCTTGCATAAATATGGATTCCAAAACATTGTTTGTTTGTGATAATACTGTATGATCACTTTTATGAGTTAGGGGAGCCGACACTATGTTTCATGGAAATGCCTCTTTCAAATCGTAGGATTTGCGACTCATGTGTAATCATAAAAGGCAAGTAGTGGTAGTGCCTTGTTCCTTATTCCTTGTACTTAAAGGCTTTATAAGTTATAATTGCACATTGTTTTAATCTTCTAATATAAATCATAATTGTACATTGTTCATTGTTTATATCTCTCGAGTACCTCTATGTATAGGATCCTCAACTAATTCACTTCACTAGCAAATTATTTCTAGCACTTAAGTTTTTTATTTCTTTGTTTGTCAAAACACAAGTTGTTGGCTCCAACTATTTTGTGAGAGTAGAATTTGACAAAACAGGACCAAATATAGAATGAATATAAGGGGGGTGTATTCAATTAGGATTTTGAGGGATTTTAATTCTTTTAATGAATCTAGGGGTATTCAATCAGGAATTTAAGTGATTCTCTGAAATTCAATGTGTATTCAATCAGGATTTTAAGATAGTTTATGAAAATCCTTAGAAATCCGGGTGTATTCAATTAGAATTTTAAAGAAATTTATAACATTCCAAGTGTATTCAATTAGAATTTGAGAAAGTTGAGGAATTAGAGGGAATTGGAGAGATTTCGTAGTGTATTTTGAGCATCCACAAATCTCACCTCCCCCCAAGAGATTTCGAGGGAATTGAATCAAAATTTTACATGGAATCTCTACAAATCAATTAAACTCCATAAAAATTCATGGATTTATAAATGCGTTAAAATCTCTCAAATTCTCAATTGAATACACCCTCCTAATTGTAGCTTTAAACTTGTGAAGAATTCTCTCCATTGCAATCTTGTTTTTCTTTTGTTCAATGAAAAAATACTACACTTTGCCCCCATATTAAGTTCAAAATTCTTGTTCAAAAAAAAAAAAAAAAAAAGGTTCAAAATTCAATCTTAGTATCATGAGCGATTATTATCTTTAGATTGTTTTACCGCTAGCTAGATTCTTCTGTCACCATGTCATGTGTTGATCACATTATAAATGATTTCAAAGTTTTGTAGTCATCAGTTGTGGAGAGGAATACCAATGATTTAGTAATAATGTAGTTCAAATTCACTTTTGGCGAAAATCGAACCTAAGACCTCTTACTTACAAGTGAAGAAGAATACTACTAAACTGTTAACTTAATTAGTCCTGCATGAATTAATCAGAAATTAGTAAGATGGTACTACGGTCTAGCGGTACGGTATTCCTTTTCACCTATAAGTGAGAGGTTTTATGTTCAATTTTCGCCAAAGGCAAATTTGAACCATATTATATGGCTCGCTCATTATAAGGCTTAGACAACTCTCTCATTTCTTAGTGTAAATAATATCGATTGTTAAAAAAAAATAAAAAAATAAGAAGAGGTGTAAACAAAAGGCAAAAAGCTATTTTAACGTCTACTATATGTACAAAATACAAACGTGAAAATTGAATACAATTTTGATGGTGTGTTATTTTGCGCAAAGTTGAAGGGCATTAATGCCATTTTACACATCGTCAGACCCTCTCCATCTCATCCTTGGCTTTATAAAACCATCCTCTTCTACTCTCCACATCCTGTCTCTTACTCTTCCCCTCCCCCCCCTCTCTCTCTCTCTCTCTCTCTCTCTCTCTCTCTCCAAAATACACAGATTTAAACAAAAACCCAGTTCGTATCTCGAAACTCCACAGCCAAATCACAACCCAAAACATCAAAGCTCGAAGCTGTCCAATGGGTTTTCCAGTTGGGTACACAGAGCTTCTGCTCCCAAAGCTCTTCATCCACACACTCACTCTGCTGGGTCTAATCCGAAAGCTCATCTCCACCTTCTTCTCCCTGCTGGGTCTCCAAGATTTCATCGAGCCCGACAATGCCTGGTCCGATCCGCCAATCCGATTCCCGGAGTTCCACTCTGTCTCCGCCGTTCTGATCCGGGAAATCCTTCCCCTGGCGAAGTTCTCGGACCTGGTCGACCCGCCCGAGTCGTGCGCTGTGTGCCTGTGCGAGTTCGAGAGCGAGGACGAGATACGACGGCTCACGAACTGTTGTCACGTCTTCCACAAAAGGTGCGTGGACCGGTGGGTCGGGTACGAGCAGAAGACGTGCCCGCTGTGTCGTACGCCGTTCATATCGGAAGATATGCAGGGCGATTTCAATGAGAGACTTTGGGCCGCTTCTGGGATCCCCGATTTTTACGACGATTATTCTCACACTAATCTTGGTTTTGAATTGTAGCACTTCCAAATTCAAAGTCTTTTACTTTTCTTTTTACTTTGAAGACAGAGAAATTTACGAGAGGATTACTAGAATCCAACTCATGGTCTTATTGTGAATGTAGATTCTACCACGGAGTTAGTTACCGGAGCTATAGGAAACTCCGAAGTTGATGTTAATATGTAAATATAGGATATTGTTGGATGAAAAAGAAAAAAAAATGAGAATTGAGTGCAAATGAGATGATTTTGTATAGTTTTTGTTTTCTTTGGTGTGGAAAATGAGAATTTGGGGATGGCAAATTCGTGTTCTATGTCGTAACTTAGATTCCAAAAAAAAAAAAAAAAAAAAAAAAAAAAAAACCCAATTAGTTCTTGATCTCATGATATTCATCTGCCTAATGTTGGAAGAGATTCAGATCCTTGTGAAATGTTAACATTTCGGTTTTGGAACCTAATTTTTTGAGTGATGGTAACTGTTGTGAAGTATTATTACGTGTAGTTTTGTTTCACAAGACAGTATTCTGTATTTAAATCTAAATGGATAGAGTTATGCCAGACTGTTCTAATTAACTGATGTATATGAATAGTAACTAAATTAATTAACTGACTTAATCGACATATACGACTATTATGCAAATATTATCATTAGCTAAATCAAAATTAATTGACTTAATCTACATCCACGAATATTAGGCTTATTAGGTAAGTTAAATGTGATAAAATTGGTGTAGGGTTGGTTTGGCTTTTGGCATCTATTGTAACTTGTAAGGTTGGTGATCAACGGGTTATTATTTAATTATGAAATGGAGCGTGACATTGTCAGTTGGTGGGTTCACATTGGACAAATTTTTGGTCATGGAAGACATTGTTGGAAAATATTACTATTTATGTTTATTTTAGTATTTGAGTTTTCCTTGTTAGTTTAGGAATTGGGTTTAGTCCATCCGAGTTAGGGTTTCTTAGGTTTAGTTTCTATAAATATTGCTTTTAATTTAGTTTGATAAATAAGTGAGTCAATATGTAGCATTTTCAGTTCATGTAGCATTCTTGACAATTCCGTTTAATAAAGTTTTGTATTCAGTTAGTTCGTGGCGTACTTTGATATCCAACTTGGTATCAGAGCATGTTGGATCCTTCAGGATTTAATCTGTTGTTGATGGATGTCAATTTGTTTGTATTAGTTTTGGTTTCGTCATCTTCCGCTGTTTGTGTTTCCGTTTTAGATTCATCTAGGAAATTGTCGTTGTTCATTGTGGTAAAAATCTGTTTGCTTGTTTGTCGTGCAAAGCATCCATAGTCGAATCCGTTCTTGTCGCCACCACCACCCTGCACAAACCATCTGTTGCAATCCCTTTATGTTGCTTGACTTGGTTGCTGCATGAATTGAAGAAAGCATGAGTAAAGAAGGAAAAGAGGGAGGAAAAAAAAAATGAAAAAAGAGGGAAAATAAAGGACAAAGGAAAAAAAAAAAAGTTTTTCAAAAAAAATTTGTTAGGTTTTGAGGCCCACACAACCAAGGAGAAAAGATTTACTTTTTTTTTTTAAGTCTCTGAAGCACACATAGAGGCTGTTGGTTTATATGAATGATTTGGAGTCTATTGTTGTCCTCTGTGGCGATTGCTCGAGTGTTTGGACTTGTGACTACTCGAGTGACGTTGTGAAAGTTGGGTTTTTTGCTTGTTTGTTCAGGTTTGTTCGGAGGCTCGCAATTGGCATGGAAATCTTGTACTAGCACTGGAATTTGGAATCTTGCACTTGCACCGATGGAATTTCGTATTGAAATTGGCATCCGAAATTAGCATAACAAGCTTGTATTCACATCGTCTCTTGGCAAACTCATGTTGTGTACCGACATGAGTTTGACGGGGGGTGTTAGAAAATATTAGTATTTATGTCTATTTTAGTATTTGGGTTTTCCTTGTTAGTTTAGGAATTGGGTCTAACACATCCGAGTTAAGGTTTCTTAGGTTTAGTTCTCTATAAATATTGCTTGTAATTTAGTTTGACAAATAAGTGAGTCAAGATGTAGCATCTTTGGTTCATGCAGCCTTCTTGACAATTTCGTTTAATAAAGTTTTATATTCAATTAGTTCGTTTGTTCCTTGTATACTCTAACATTCAACTGACATGAATGTATTTGCAGTCCTCCAAGCATTTCAAATGCGATTAAATCAAATGGGATCTACCAACTTGAAAAAAGAAAAGAGTGCAATAAATAAAAAAACAAGTGGAGAGGGTGCAATTTTACATGAAGAGAAATTTTGATAAGATAACTCTCAAATGTACGGAATATGATACACGTAAATGAGTGGTCATTTACATATATCGCACACTCAATTGGGTCTACTAACTTGAAAAAGAAAAACAGCAGAAAAAAAGAAAAAGAAAAAAGAGGTTGAGATGATGTAGTTTTGTATTAAAAAAAAATTTGGTACATCAGTTCTCACACGTACGAAATTATATACACATAAGTAACAGGTCGCCTACATATTATAGGGTCGTCGCTTTTACTCATTTTTTTTTCTCTTTTTATTATGGATGGGTGTATGTGAACTACACTTGTCAGTATACACGAGAAAAATGAAGACTTTTAAAAGATGAAAACATCATCAGTTTGGACTTCAAGGGCTTTACTACTAAAAAGAAATATCCAGGTTTCCGGGAGTCTTTTTTTCTTTTTGTGTCCCGGGAATCTTCTCTTTTCTCCCCTTTTCTTTCCAATAACATCAAGCATGAAGCATCAATGGCCAGCCTCAAATTAATTTAGGAAATGCATGCTTCATTCAAAATATATACATGCAGTGAAATAGTTTATGCCCTAATACCAAGCACATCCAAGATTATAAAATGAAATAGCTTATGGCACTTTGCAACAAACTTTTGCCGGCACCAACAAATATGGTTTAAAATTTAGCCGAGTAATGCTACACTTTCCTTTTATTTGTATCATCTCTCTAATAGAGTTAAGGTCCGTAAATGCAATTGGTTCCTATCTCTACTAGAGATATGGTACAAATGACAGTATAAGTAGGGGGTAAAGGTTGTTGAATATACCATTGCCAACTCATTTCTGCCAGCTCATCAAAACAGTTGTAAATGATAACTTTTTTGAATTTAGTCAAGATATGTCATGCTTTGATTTCGAGATACGCCAAAAATCGACATGTATCAGCTGAAAGTAACAGTGCAATAATTACATAGAGTCAACTGGGACTCATACATAATATATATCAAATATTTTGTGAAAATGAAACTACAATAAAGGGCACAAATCCTACTTTCGAGTGCCTCTTTCTTTAACTGCTACTTGTACTATGTAAGAAACAGCCCTACACTGGGCAAAGCAAAAACCTGGATACGCTACAAAGCTCTTGTGTGTGACAATAATACGATATAAGTTATGGTAGGTAGATTAAATTTGTAGAGTATATTTGCAAACTAAATGATGTGTCACCAATAAGAAATAAGCACATTAATATAATAATCCAATCATTAACGTGTATGTCATTTAATTTACAAAATTTATTCTACACATTTAGTCTCCTTAGCATTATCCATACAACATATGTGATTTAAAAGTTTGATCTCAGTTATAAAATATTTCACAATCCTTTTCATATATAAGATAACCTCACTCACAAATCTCAATTGAATACCACACATAAATTCAAATGACTTTTCATGATTGATCCCTACAAGCACTCAATCACCTCTTTCAAATATTGAATAAAATAACATGGCTATAGTGAAAGAGTCCATAAGTTCTGCATTCCAGACCTACTCATTGAATCGGATAACGGGAACAAGCACAAGGTTCCAGACTTGCTCATGGAACTAGAAAGAAATAAGTAGATATTAGATTTCACATTTTCTAATGCCAGACTTTCTCATGGCTACATAAAGAATTATAGGCCCAGACTTTCTCATGGCATACCTAGAATGAAGATATTAGCAGGGTTTTCAAATCAACTCATGAAACCAGAAAGAATATAGAATCTATGGTTCCAGACACACTTATGGAACTAGAAAGAAAGCATACAAAGATAATAGTTTATTATATAATATTAAAATCACTCACCTGAAGTCAAAGATACTACAACTCTAGCACGAAGATCAAAGCACTCAGACACGACCAACACCTAAGGAAACACACAAGTCTTAACTCAGAATTCTATAGATAAACGAGAAATTGGAAATGTGTCATAAAGCCAATCATAGGATGATACTTTACGAACATTTCACATATTAAACTAATCTAGTTTAATGTAAGGGCAAAAATTATTGTTTAAAGCCGTCTCATTAAATGTTAGACGCTTAAACAATAAGTCCATGGAATATGTAATTAACAAAATGTAATCTAAAGAAGTTAGATTCATAAATGTAATCTAAAGAAGTTAGATTCATAAATGTAATCTAAATAAGTTTGATTCATAAGACCATTCTCTTTTATGCACATATTCTAAATGTTCTTGATTGTAAGACTACCAATTAGGTATTGACAATTAGTAGATCAATATATACTATGTCTTTCTCCCTGAAGAGCGACTGGTCTTCAGTCATTGGTGTGAAAGGCACCAAGATAAGTATGTAAGTGCTCAATCAAAGTGAGTCCACTGAATGCAGCCGACCAGGTGTTCTCATACTCATGTCATACAAGAACTCACTAGTTGGATAATGCAAAGTAGTCATTTGACCTGAGGCATCATAGTTGTCTTGTGGTTACGGCCTTAATCTTTAATTATGTGAAAGGCATTCTATTAGAGAGTGTCCACGCAATAGTTGTTGTTAAGCTACTTAACCATGTAGACATGTGAATGCACAACAATGGATCTCTAACCTTCAAAACATTGATGGAGAATACTCTATGATATGATTAAGAATCTCTAGCCAAAAGTATGAATGAGATATAGGAGGTACGTTGAATGAGATATAGGAGGTACGTTCCAAATCACATTCAAGGTAACTATATAGACAAGATAATCACATTGGATAGTATGCATGAATAAACTATCACCTAAGCAATGTGATCAAGAGTATTGATCTAGAGAAGGACCGTATTGCATTGTATTCCCTAACTGATTAGGTTCTCCAACCTTTTATGCTTAGCTTGAGTAGCCATGACATATTACTACGTGTTACTCATGATTTGTGGAAGCCCTGATAATTAACAATCACTAAGAGATAATTAGAAGTATTATGTTCACCAATCAATTGGTAGCAGTTCTAACCGCCTACTACCTCGCTAACTAGAACCTAATGGATCATACACTGTGTAAGGTAATGGTTGAAGAATACAACGA